AGAAAGTTGGAGGGCGGTGGAAGAAAGAGGTGTATGGAGAGCGGAAGAGTTACATTGGGTTTCTATTTTCTGGGGCACTGTTGACAAGCGGAACTGATGTAATTATTGTTTAATGCAGTATGGTGTTGGTTATGTATAGTATACATGTGAGTGTGCGTTATGAAAATGAAAATGGAAATATATATATATATATATATATATATATATATATAATTATGATTTAAAAAATTATTTTAAAATCCTCAATGTCATTGCTGACTAGTTCATTTTTTCAGAAGGTTGAAGAATACATAACAGCAGAGTTGGGAGGGATCTTGGAGGTCTTTTGGTCCAACCCCCCCTCCTGCTCCCTCTCACAGTTTTTGCACCAGGTACCACCTATGCTATGCCTGTGCATTTGGTTTTTCTTGCCCAAGTACAAAGTCTTACTTTTCTCAGCACTGAATTGCTGTTTGTTGGATAGGGTCCAGTGTTCAAGTCTGTCAAGATCCTTTTGGGTCTGGAGCCTGTCTTCTAAAGTTTTGGCTACTCCCCCCTCAGTTTGGTGTCATCTGCAAACTTGATGCATTCCAATTTTCTCCCTTCATCTCAACCATTTATGAAGATATTGAAGAGTAGTGGGCCTAAGAAAAGAACTCTTACTGCATCCTTCCATCCATGTCAATGTAGTTCCATTGAGGATTACACCTCCAGCTGGTGGTGATGCTGTCGATACCAGGAGTCTCCAACCTTGGCAATTTTAAGACTTGTGGACTTCAACTCCCAGAGTTCCTCAGCCAAAGCTGCCATGTTCACTATCCATACTTCTTTGTTTTCCTTATAGACAATGATTAAGTTTGGTGTTTATTCGCTTTCTTTGGCTGTTGCTACACACTGGGGGCTGATATTCAAGTGACCATCCACTAGCATTCCAAGATTCCTCTCAGTTGCTGCTTTTGAGCCAAGTTTTGCCTAATCTGTACTTGTACCTTTGGTTTTTCCTGCCTCGGTGTAAAACCTTGCTTTTCTTAACTGTCTTACAACAGTAGTTCTAATTGCAATTGTTAGGTGAACGCTGCATGGTTGTTAAGAGGTGACATCATATGATTGCCATTTGTGATCTGCCAGCTTGCCGGCTGACTTTGCTTATTTATCGAAAGCCAGTAGTGAAGGTTGCAAATGGCAATTAGGTAACCCTAGGATTGTAATTGCAGGCCTGATTGCCAAGGTCCCAAATTGCAACAATGGGACCGCAGGGATGCTGTAATAACTGCAGCTGTTACGTGTCTTCATTCACCACCATCGAAATTTCAGTTGCTGAATGAATGATTGTTTGCCATCAAAGCTTATTCCATAATAGAATTGTGTGCATCAAGAGAATTGATGATGTGCCATGAAGTGGAGATCGACTCTTAATGACCAAACAGATGGACCTTTTCCAGGATGATCTGGCCTCTTTTAGCTCTCCCAATAGTGCACAGATTCCCGCTGTGAGATTGAATCCATCCATTTTGCTGCTAGAATAAGCCTGAGCCTGAGGGCGGGGTCAAATGCATCATAGGTTTGGAGTCCCCCTCCTTCCCCTTGGCAGAAGCTGGGACAAGTAACGGGAGCTCACTCCATTACGCTAGGGATTTGAACCACCAAACTGCTGAGACTTTCTGATTGACAAGCTCAGCCTCTTAGCCACTGAACCACCGTGTGACCCTTAAATCAGTTAATTACGGATTCCTAGAAACCAGGAAAAAACCAAGCAAGTTTTAATGTACTTACAGCATTTGCATTTCCTCCAACTTGCATGCACCTCAACTGAAACCATGACCAGTTTGAGTCTAATTCTGTGGATCTAAAACCAAAAAAATAGAAGTAATTTCTGAAGAACCATTTAATACCAATAGCAGGCTTATATACCTCTTCATCGTGTTTTATAGCCTTCTCTAAACAATTTACAGAGTCAGTATATTGTCCCCCCCACAAACAATCTGGGTCCTCCTTTTACCGATTTCAAAAGGATGGAAGGCTGAGTTAACCTTGAGCTGGTGAGACTTGAACTGCCGAACTGCTGACAGTCGGCAGTCAGGAGAATTATCCTACAATACTGCATTCTAACCACTGCGTCACCATGGCTCTTTTTAAAAAACGACAACAAAGTAGTATATCTTTTGAAGCAACAAGGAGGCCTGGGGGCATATTAAAAATAAAACAAAAGCCAAAGAAGATACAGACCCATTGAAAAAACAAGGTAGTTATTCTTCATCCTAAAAGGAACCTATATGGAATGTCTTAAGTCAACATTTTAGCAATGTTTTAGATGAGAGGGTTATGAAGGAAGGATGATACAAAATTAGGAAAGGCAAATTGCTTAGATGAATATAATGAAATATGGTTATTCTTTATTGAAACCATTGTAGAGATGCAATGTAGATGTTTGAAAACCACCCAGAGACACTTAGGCGAGATGGGTGATGTAAAAATTTAATTAAAAAAACAAACAAATAAATAAATAAAATAGAACTATATATACACATACACACAAGGAAAATTTATATCATTATTTTGTTCTCCTTTTTTCTATCATTTTTCCTTATTCCGTTTAGTTAAAAAGCCACGAAACAAGATTGAAGAAGGTGTCGAGTGGCTTGAAGTATGGAGTGAAAGGAGTAGAATGGAATTTGACATAGAGAATATAAAGTTCAATATCTTTGATAGGAAAAATGTATCATATTTTGGAATATAAGACTCACTGGAATATAAGATGCACCAAGATTTTGAAGAGGTAAATTTTAAAAAAAGTTTTTGCACTCTGCAGGCCTCCCAAACCCTCTGCACGCCTCATTTTTTGTGAAAAATGGGGCATCAGAGAGGTTGAGTGGCCTGCAAAATTCCCCCGGGGTTTGGGGGGGGGGGGAAATGATTTAAAAACAGCCCATTTTTTGCTCGTTTTTTGCCCT